TTGTTGTTTTCCCTAGAAAAATCATGATAAATTAGTAAAAATCATTTAGACAATCTTCTACAACAGACTGTTTTTTAACTGTTTTTAGGAGGTTAAAATTTTCCATGGACCAAGCTCCGCACCCACTTTTTTCTCTTTCTTGTCTCCATAATTTGGGACCCCTTGCTAGGCCAATTTTTGAAGCTTGGCCAATTTCTAGATGGATAGATAAAAGAGACATCAAAGATTCAGGCAAACGCCTTAAGAAATCTATAACAACACAACATCAAACATTTTCGAAGGGATGGGTGTGCTCTGAATGCAATTCTGACTGGGTCATCCAAAGAGTTACATGTCTCCTATTTCAAGCAAACTCACAGATGCTAGATCAAATGGTGATTCTTTTCAACAGTTTCACCATTCCGGAGTTATTCTAAATAGAAATTAGAAAAAACGTTCACAGCTTAAGATAAAAAAGATCTTTTCAAAATATCTTACCGTTTCAGATAAAGTAGACTTCAGCACAGACAAGATTTCATAAACCTTTTTTGGTTCAAAAGATGTGCCAAGTCTTAAATCGTCAGTCTTTTTGCCTTTATGCTGGAAAACTAGAGAAAAATGACAAATTTAGCATAAGAAAATTAAACATGTTTGCATGATAAAACGAAGAAATTATTGTGATATATCTGCTCAAATTACTCTAAATACGACTACACATTTCATAAATACTCACAAGTAGCTAACAGCCATGCTACCAACAGTTTTCTCTTATCCTGCTTTTCTAGAGACATCATTTAGTCATCCCTCCCAAAAATATGTCCTTTAAGGCATGCTGAGTGCCTTATTTGACTTTTGGGGCATGTGAACTTGAGGCTCAGAAGATCGGAAGGATTTCCAAAAAAGTGGCTCGAAAAATTAGAAGAGTTTCCCACAACAAAGACGAAACTCTTTTCTAGAAATCGATGGATTTATTCTAGATATTTCGGGAAATAATTACCTCTATTGTCCAAAAAGGAGAATTCATTTGCAAACTGAATCCTGCGGAAGATATTATTAAATTCATTATTGAATGCAATATTAGACAAAAAAAGGAAAACATACATTTTTGCAAATAAAAGTTTATAATGATGAAAATGTTGATCAGTATTGAGCTGGTTTACAAAATGTTGTGTTGCAGATTGCCAACCTTTCTGAGGTATGATTACAAAAGTTGATAAAAATAACATGGCCAAAGAAACTGTCAATAAAAATCGGTCACGTCAGCAAATATTTGACCGCGCAAAATGAAATCTCTTGAAAACTGATCTCAAATTGAAATCAAAGTCACATTGAAATCTCTTAGCGTGGAATAAAGGATTCTTTAACTTCAGTCGATTTTTGAGTCTTTCACAATTTTGCACAAAAACACTTTCAAAAAGCAACAAGTCTGTTCTAGCAGAACTTAACTCTGGGGTAACAGACTGCAATATATAAATCTTGATCGATTCTTCTGTTTATTAAAGATGATTGAAAGCTAATTGATTAATACAGCAAATCAAATCCCTGAAAAATACTGATGACTATTTTAATCATTCTTCAAATAGTCTAAAATAAAAGATTCTGTGGTTACGAATGGCTTTCTTAATTTCCAGGAAGCTTAATGTGCCAAATCTTCGTAAATTCTAATCGACTAAGACAGGTGGTTCCCGCGCACAAACCAGATTCCTGGTAAGACAATGTCAACAAACATGCTTAAGTGTCTTTCTTACGCTAAATAAATGACATCTTTTTAGCAGGAAAGCAATAACATAAGGAAACTGCAATCGTGAGTTCTGCTTAAGATGTGCAGAAAGAGGTGCTCTGCTATAGGAAATTCAACATACATAAGAAGACGATACCAATCATGAATAACATTGATTTGTGTCTTCTTGTGCTTAAACATTTAGCTTTTAGAAACAAATATACAGTCCTTTCATATAGCCCCATACAAATACACTGTTTATGAAATAGCCTACCAATATGAACAATAACATAAAACATACAAAAGTCTTTTCAATAAAGCCAAACTTATCCTTAAAATGGCAGGTGAGGAAAAATATTTATTCATTGTGTGAAATTTGTCATGCAGTCCATTCGTCTTTTTGTACAGACCTAGCTGTCTTGCCATCTTTTCAATGTTCTACTACTCTTGTAGGTATCAAACCTTGGTATTTAAAATGTTATAGCAAATAAAAAGGGCTGATTTGCTTTTTGTAGCAAAGCCAGTCATACTTACTAAAAAGGGGGAGAAGAAAAAACCATAACACAGCAATACACATATTGAATGAGCAATACTGATTGAAAAATATAGAGAAAGCTAACTTACATGGTATCGGTGAGTGGTGTTGATGATAGTTTTTCATTTTTCTGCTTGATTCCAGCCATAGATTTAAATAAATGATAAAAAGCTTGGCAACCAAGTAATGACTGCAAAGTAGCATTGATGTAGCACCAATTGCCATTGTTTATCAAGCCACGTAGCTGGATCAATGAGTTGTTGGGATGAAGACTAGTCTTTTGCAGGAAATCTGACATATTAAAAAGAAGACAAAACATATCAATGCTATTTGGAAAGATATTTTTAAGTCTCTGCAAAGATGTAACATTGCAAACAACTAAGGGCTTTGGCTTTTGAAACAGAACATCAAAGGTATAAAAGGTGCAATTTGAATAGGCTAAAGAAGCTGGGGATCTAATTCATCTTAGATTGATCAGTACTGTTCACATGGGAGCAATTATCCAGAATAATTATGGAAGCTACAATATCGCTTATTAAAGAAATAAAACGATTTGACTGAATGCAGCTACCGTACCCCATATTTTTTTTATTATTATATTTTTTTGGTTAAATATATAACTTAAATAACTTTTTTTGGTTTGTTCCTTGTCCCTTTGTTTGCTTGAGTGATAAAATGGCTAAATATATTGTAAGTGCCATTTGTAGAGGATCTTGTGTCTTTTCCCTCTATGAATGGTACCATACCAAGTGATTGTTGCCTAGCCTTTTGATTGCTTATAAATATATAATATATATAACATGGAAGCAGCAGCTAATGCTCAAAAGCATCAGGACCCTAACCTTTGAGTATTAGCAGGGACATTCAAAAACTACAATCCTGGCCAAAAGGTTAGTGGACTGGTGAAAAAACCACTAAAATTGCAACTTGACCCTAAAAATATTATCAAAACCCCCCACCCCTGAAGCAATGTTGGTTTTCTCTTAAATACCCAAGTAACAGCAATCGAAAAGAGTAGAAATAAGCGTATCAACATTGACAGTGGGGGGCGGGGAGCGTATTTTTCCAAAAATACTACAATTTTCCAGCCCAGTCCAATAACTTTTGGCCAGGATTGTCTGCTTTCTAAGCAGAATGAAAATCTATCATAGCGGTTTGTTATGTATCGGAAAGAGCTACTAGGCGTCTAGACATGGTTGTCCAATGCTAAAAAACTAGGAAGCCGGTCTTTTAGGGCATTTTGTGTTGAATCTTCATAGAAATTAAAGAATTTCGAAAAGCTGCACTTGACGTAGAAAATCGGAGGAGACGCGATATGTCTACCTAAATTGATTAGAATCAAAGTTCTCTACGTATGTGGAGGGTGCAAAATTAAAATGGGAAATATATATACGGGTGTCCTTCTTGGTCAAGTAACTACAAATAATGGGTTAGTATGGGTTTAATAGTCTACACAATGCGTTTTGCCTCAGACTTCGCTATTGTAGTACGTACATTGAATTTGCCGTCGATCTTTGTATACGAAAGATTAGTTGATAACATGTGAAAGTTTAAGAGAGAAAGAAATTGGCAAATGCTATCTGATATCCTACAGCAGAGTAAATGCAGCCGAATTCCCAGCAAGAGAGTCAGTTGTAGAGAACAAAAAATACAATAGCTCAGTCGAGAGAGAAAAGAAATAATGGCTGTAAGATTGAAAACATTCGAGTTTACCCATGATATACAAGCAGGTAAACATAAAACATTTCAAGTTGTCCTCGCTACTTTGCAGAACTGACAATGAGTGACATCAATGTCAACTTTAGTTTATTTGAAAATGTCACGAGTTACCAACGGGTTACCAACGAGTTACCCTAACGAGTTACCTTTTTTAATAGTGGTTTTATATGGGAATACCACGAGTTACCATGACTTTTTTAATAAATATATATATATTATATTTATAAAGAAGGTGGTAACTCGTTGGTATCTCGTATACATCCATACTGAGGTCTGCAAATGTAGAATGTAACCCGTACGGTAACTCGTTGGTGACTCGTGGTAACTCGTGATCATTTTCCCAGTACGGCACAAAAGGCTCCTTTTTTCAATATTATATATTAGCGCATGCGTAAAAATGGATTTGTTGTTATAAAATTCCAAATTGCAAGTTTTGATTTTTTAAACATGAATTTGAAGATACATAAACACTATATGTCTAGTAGATTTTGATCACCTTAACCCCTCCCCCCGATTTTGAAAATCTTTCTACCCTGAACACTTGTGTTCAAGACCCCCTAATATGAAAAAATTAGACTTTAACAAACCCGCCAAAAACTTTCAACTGTACCCGAGAGTACATTTGCCCTTTAATAACCATCATTCGACTTTTCTAATAATTTGTGGGTTCTACTTTACCATTGTCTAAGTAGTAATAATTTTCTTTATGGCATCTCTATTCAATTGCTGCTTGACAATTCCAAAATATCAATTAGATTTAGGCCTGGGCTTCAAGGTAGAATTGACACAAGTTGTGAATTCGATTCCTGCATGACCTCTTTCGCTTGCTGAATATAAAATTCTTCATGATTGGACCCACCTTTCTTAAATTGTTCCTATTTTAGGTTACAAAAATTGATACTTCTGTATAAGATTTGTAAATTTTAATCTCCTCCTTTTTCCCTCTATATTAGACAATCCTGGCCAAAAGGTTAGTGGACTGGTGAAAAAACCACTAAAATTGCAACTTGACCCTAAAAATATTATCAAAACCCCCCACCCCTGAAGCAATGTTGGTTTTTTCTTAAATACCCAAGTAACAGCAATCGAAAAGAGTAGAAATAAGCGTATCAACATTGACAGTGGGGGGCGGGGAGCGTATTTTTCCAAAAATACTACAATTTTCCAGCCCAGTCCAATAACTTTTGGCCAGGATTGTCTGATTTCTAAGCAGAATGAAAATCTATCATAGCGGTTTTTTATGTATCGGAAAGAGCTACTAGGCGTCTAGACATGGTTGTCCAATGCTAAAAAACTAGGAAGCCGGTCTTTTAGGGCATTTTGTGTTGAATCTTCATAGAAATTAAAGAATTTCGAAAAGCTGCACTTGACGTAGAAAATCGGAGGAGACGCGATATGTCTACCTAAATTGATTAGAATCAAAGTTCTCTACGTATGTGGAGGGTACAAAATTAAAATGGGAAATATATATACGGGTGCCCTTCTTGGTCAAGTAACTACAAATAATGGGTTAGTATGGGTTTAATAGTCTACACATTGCGTTTTGCCTCAGACTTCGCTATTGTAGTACGTACATTGAATTTGCCGTCGATCTTTGTATACGAAAGATTAGTTGATAACATGTGAAAGTTTAAGAGAGAAAGAAATTGGCAAATGCTATCTGATATCCTACAGCAGGGTAAATGCAGCCAAATTCCCAGCAAGAGAGTCAGTTGTAGAGAACAAAAAATACAATAGCTCCGTCGAGAGAGAAAAAGAAATAATGGCTGTAAGATTGAAACATTCGAGTTTACCCATCATATACAAGCAGATAAACATAAAACATTTCAAGTTGTCCTCGCTACTTTGCAGAACTGACAATGAGTGACATCAATGGCATATTTAGTTTATTTGAAAATGTCACGAGTTACCAACGGGTTACCAACGGGTTACCAACGAGTTACCCTAACGAGTTACCTTTTTTAATAGTGGTTTTATATGGGAATACCACGAGTTACCATGACTTTTTTAATAAATATATATATATTATATTTATAAAGAAGGTGGTAACTCGTTGGTATCTCGTATACATCCATACTGAGGTCTGCAAATGTAGAATGTAACCCGTACGGTAACTCGTTGGTGACTCGTGGTAGCTCGTGATCATTTTCCCAGTACGGCACAAAAGGCTCCTTTTTTCAATATTATATATTAGCGCATGCGTAAAAATGGATTTGTTGTTATAAAATTCCAAATTGCAAGTTTTGATTTTTTAAACATGAAATTTGAAAATACATTAACACTATATGTCTAGTAGATTTTGATCACCTTAACCCCTCCCTCCGATTTTGAAAATCTTTCAACCCTGAACATTTGTATTCAAGACCCCCTAATATGAAAAAATTAGACTTTAACAAACCCGCCAAAAACTTTCAACTGTACCCGAGAGTACATTTGCCCTTTAATAACCATCATTCGACTTTTCTAATAATTTGTGGGTTCTACTTTACCATTGTCTAAGTAGTAATAATTTTCCCTATGGCATCTCTATTCAATTGCTGCTTCACAATTCCAAAAAATCAATTAGATTTAGGCCTGGGCTTCAAGGTAGAATTGACACAAGTTGTGAATTCGATTCCTGCATGACCTCTTTTGCTTGCTGAATATAAAATTCTTCATGATTGGACCCACCTTTCTTAAATTGCTCCTATTTTAGGTTACAAAAAATGATACTTCTGTATAAGATTTGCAAATTTTCACCTCCTCCCTTTTACCTCTATATTAGACAATCCTGGCCAAAAGGTTAGTGGACTGGTGAAAAACCACTAAAATTGCAACTTGACCCCAACAATATTATCAAAACCCCTCACCCCTGAAGCAATGTTGGTTTTTTCTTAAATACCCAAGTAACAGCAATCGAGAAGGGTAGAAATAAGCGTATCAACATTGACAGTGGGGGGCGGGGAGCGTATTTTTCCAAAAATACTACAATTTTCCAGCCCAGTCCAATAACTTTTGGCCAGGATTGTAGGAGGCCAACCCTCAGTTTCATCATCACGGCTAAAAATTCTTGCATAATTCTTGCAAGACTGTATGTACTCTGAATAAGTTTGTAAACTGTCTGACTAAGGAAAACTGATTTTTTTTAAAATACACTGTTTTTGAGTCAGCTAAAGCATGACATTTGCAAGGGAAGGGGTATGTGATTTACAATCAGAAGGGGTCAATAAGGATATCATCGATTTCTACCGCCAGATATTGCACCTCATGCCATACAGGGGAATCCTCCATCCAAAACAAGACACATGCAGGAACTTCCCCAAATAGCATTTTACTCAAACATGCATCACAATCATAGAAGGGGTCACGATGTTTTGATGTCTTGTATAGGTTTTATACGTTAAATCAATTTCAGAAGAGAGTCCGACTCAAGATGGTTCTAAACAGGCTAGAAATAACAAGATTTTCAATATTTGGGAAAGATTTCTCTTTTTGTTAGGAAAGAACTACAAATACTGTGCTTTTATTTGACATACTTTTATTCGATTTTAAGCCTTTTTTATTATTGCTAAACCTATTTGAAGACTTAAACTAAACATAAAGCTA